TAGTGGGCTTAAGCATTAGGTTTGCTTAAATGAATAATGATATGTAAACGGAATTTAGAACAAAACCAAAGCCATAGCAAACCTTGTATTTGCTGCCAGGCTAAGAGGTTCACCAGAGGCTGAGTGTATAGAAAGTTGATTGATAAAATTGTAAGGATTGAAGACACAAAAGTATCATCAAGTCCTATATTGTTGGTTTATACGGTGTACAAATAGTAAAAGTCTAAAGAGGCGTTTAAATGGAGATTTGATGGTTCTGAAGGACATAGGATATCTGCATTTTGATTACTGTTGTGATTACATTGAGATTCTCAAACTTAAATATTCTAGGCTTTGGTTGATGGTCCCTGCACGCAGGTAAGGCGACAGGCTATGCCTTTCAAATGCATGCAGCTCACTGACTTCATCCTCAAGTTCCCACACAGGTAACTGTCTGTCAACACCCTCTCCTCCCCCACCCTTGTTTACCCTAGACAAGTTTGCTTAGTTTAATTAAAGAAATGTTTTTGCTGTTTTTCCCCGAGGCTATAGTAAGCTTATTAAAGAATAAGAGCAATTCAGAAGAGACATTTACAGCTAAATGTTCACTAGCATTATTTACTTTTAAAATATCCTGATTATTTTTTCCACAATGGTAGTTTGTTGACTTTGCATTTTCCCAGATTTGCCTTTCTCTTTATTTGCCCCCTTGTCTCAGGATTTATATAACAAAAACTAGGGAGTTGTCTTGCAAACATTTTAGTCACTTAAGATCCAAAGCAGAAATACTGTCTCTTCAGATACTAGCAATCTTTAGTTAAGCTTGTAGCATGTGTCAGTTATTAGGTGTTTAACATACCTCACTTCACAAAACACAGCACACGCAGATACTGTATCATTTCAGTGTGACAACCGGTAGAGGAACGGTAGAGGAATTGTGGCAGCCAGTAGTGAATGGACGATATATTGTAGACGCTAAGACATAGGTGTGTAGTGGGACATGTGCTCTAACATGTACTGTTCATTTATTTTTTATAGCATACTGGATTTTGGTACTTGGCATATTTGAAAAAATAGCTGTAATTGAATTTTACGTTGTTTGACCACAAATTTTTAAATATCATTGCATATAGAAAAACATAGTAAAAATGGAAGGGTTAACTTTTACCTCATTCAAAAATGATTTTTAAACCTAGAATGTGGGCTGGTGTGTATTTCTTACTAAATGTGTGTTTGAGAATGTAAGAGATACAACTTGAAGGGTATTGAGTTGCGCTTTTTAGAGGAAACAACTTGCCTTTGGGTGTCTGTGACTTTGAAAGTGATTTCCTTAATATGTGGCCTTGGTTCTTTTTAGTGCCCGGCAGAAGTATGTGCGACAGGCCTGGCAGAAGGCAGATATTAATAAAAAATGGGCAGCCACAAGATGGGCCAAGAAAATTGAAGCCAGAGAAAGGGTAATGACTGAGTAGTTGAGTTACAATCTATTTTGGAAGGTTGGATGGTCATGTAAGAGGGATAGTTGTTTTATTTTAATTCAATTAATTTATTTACAGAAAGCCAAGATGACAGATTTTGATCGTTACAAAGTCATGAAGGCAAAGAAGATGGTAAGTTTTTTTAAATTATGTGATTGTTCTCAGTCTAAAATTAGTGCTTGCCTAAGCTTCATAGATTGAAGTTGCCTTTGTGTAGCGATCTTAAGCAAAATGGTTTTATGATGCATGCATGATAAATGTCATCTTACATTGAAACTTTTCAGAGAAACAGAATAATCAAGCTTGAAGTTAAGAAGCTTCAGAAGGCTGCTCTTCTAAAAGCCTCTCCCAAAAAAGCTGTAGCTGCTAAGGGTGCGGCTGCAGCAGCTGCTGCGAAGGTTCCAGCAAAGAAGGTGACTGCTGCAGGCAAGAAGGCTCCAGCCCAGAAGGCTCCAGCCTCGAAAGCTGCAGGACCGAAGACTGCGCCTCCTAAGGCCCAGAAGGGTCAGAAAGCTCCCGCGCAGAAGCCAGCTGCTCCAAAGGCATCTGGCAAGAAAGCATAAGAGCATAAAAGGCTGTTATAAAAGCAATAAAGGTTCTTTTTGACAGTTGGCAAATATATTTAATCTGTGGGTAGAAGTCTCTTGCTGAGTTCAGGATTAAGAGGCCCACTTGGTGTAGTGATGCCATGAGGATGATCCTGTATTTATCTTTATAATTTATGCATACAGAACTGGGGTACAGGCCAGAGTTTGCAGGGGTGGTGAGGATTCACCAGAAGACAGTGGGGAGCACTTTTAATCTCCCTCTGTCCAGAATCAGATAGTACTAAGCCATGAATAGTTAGTGATATATTAGAACATTGTGATCATGAGAACATAAGCTGTTTTTTATTTCCCATAAATGTTAGTTCCCAACTAAAAATGCTTTAGAATTTAGCAAACTTTTAGGATTTTATTGCTTTTTTTCCTCCTTACATTATTGGACACTGAGTTTTATCAAGTTTCTTAACAAAAAACACTAGGAAAACAAGAATTGTCAACATTACTATGGTATGTTGATTCCTTATTTCTAACTAAAGTAGTTTCAGCTCTTAGTGATTAGGGACAAAATGTATCTTTACCTCGTGTTATTAATAGACAAATGATAAAAGTATCATAGGCAACTTGGGGTTTCCTGTCTAGTAACTGGAGAGGGAAAATGTCTTCAGAAACTGGAACCTTTAGTTACAACTTGAATAGGTGGTGTAAGGAAAAGGGTGGCATGTGTCAACCTAGGACCAACTAGCTAGGTAACAAAGAAGCCAGCTACTTGTTTAATCTGTGGGGAGCAAGAAGCCATTGGATTCGAATGCAGTGATAACCTTAGCTTCTTTCTGCTGTTGTGGACTAAATTGAGAATAGTCCTGAGGAGGTTGGAGGTCGTATTGAGCACAACTGTGTTCTTTACCTTGGCAGTGATCCATCTAAGCCAACTAAGTTCAAGGTGCATGATTGCAATCACACGATTGTTTCTTGTAACCAGTCCCCATCTCAGCATGTAAGAAAATGGCTACTGTAGAGATGTTAACTTTTGTGACAGGAACTGGGCAAGGCCAGATTTAAAAAAGTGGTCTATCCCTGTCAATCACGAAATAAGTTAGGAGCTTTGTGGGAGGAGCTGGAGACTTCTAGTATGTAACACACTAGTACACCTTGTATCTCTGATGCTTTATAAATTCAAAATAACGTTAGAACTTGGGAGAATACTGTCCAGAGCTCATACTTGCACTAATTCTGGACCAGGTACTGTTAACTCCTTCTGCCCAGTAAGCGTTGGTTAGCGCCAGCACTGAGCATGTAGAATACCTGTCTGAGGAGCAGATGAGGCTGTAAGGGCGCGGAGGTAGTCGGGCACCATGGAGAAGGGCCAGCCTCCTGGTTTCCTAGAGAGGCGCTGGGAGCGCCGACGCCCGCGCTTCCGCCTAGCCCTGCTCGCCCGGCTTCCGGCTCCCTGAGGGCTGCGTGGCCGCAGAGCTCGGGCACTGGGCCTGCCTGACGCCCGGCGGAGGAGCCTGTGCAGCGCTTGGAGTTCTGGCCCGGCCCCCTCCCCGAGGCGCGCGACCGGCCTGCCTCGAAGAAGTGGAAGTGGAGTAACGGCCTTTGACTCGCGGTACCCAGCGGGGAGCCGGTGATGTCTGGGGTCGCCGCCTGGCCGGGTGGTGTGTTCAGATCCGGGTCGGGTCTCTGGTCAGCATCACCCCCTGCGTCGTCGTTGAGCGCCTCAGTGTTCCCCACGGGGCCAGAGCACCACGAGCGTTTTCTCCCGAAACATTTGGTCCCCTTCGGGCTCTCTCAAACTTCAATACAAGCTGCCTGAGAATGCATTGCTACTGGCCCAGAGGCCGGTAGTGTCCTCCTTCCTTGTCTTTTGGATTCTGGGGGCTTTTTTTTTTTTAAAAAAAAACGGAATTCCCTGACTGCTGCCTTCACTGATCCTCTTTCTGAAGCACAGTAGTTTATTAACCTGGCCCCACTGAAGGGTGTTGAGTTCTGTTTGCCTCCTGCGCAGATGCGGCCCTTTGGTTCCTTGGAGCCTTCCAGCCCAGGGGCCTGCCTCGACCTCAGTTCTGGTCCTGTTTGGGGAGGGACTGGCCTTTTCCCTTTTATATTAGGCGCCAAGATTCTGCAAATGAACCAATTTGATTGGGACTTGAACAGCACCAACCAAACAGCTGGGATCAGAGTGCCCCACCCCTCCTTGGTGGATTTGGAACCCCACGGGGTGCAGTTCCCCAAAGCCTCACCCAACTTGCTTCCTAATGTCTAGTTATGCGTATAGTTTGGGTTGTAAATGGACCAACATTATTGAAGCTCTCTCATGGGTGCCAGTCCATTAAAATCACCAGTCAGGTTTGAAAGGCAGGCACCCTGGGGAGTATATCAACTGGCTACCACTAGCTTGAGAGCATTTGGAGAGCTCAAGAGGCAATTGGAGGGGCAGTCAAATTGGTCTGGAAGAGCTTTGTTGAGCTCTACCACTCATACCTTTGCAGGCTTGACTGCCATCACCTGCTAAGTGACACCATCCGCCCTGTGCTAGGTGGGACAAGACTCGGTCCCTAAATGAGTTGGCTGCTGTTGGCTTTCTGCCTAGCATAGCTGTAACTGTGGCCCCTGTCTGGCACAGATTGCCATTGCTGACTGCTGTGGTGCCACATTTCTGAGCTCAGAGAAACCTTAGCAAGAGTGATTATTGAGACCTTTGCTTTTGGTCCTGCTTCTAGTACTCCTTGCTCCCAATTTCTCCATCTCTCTCTCTCCCCTTTGTTAACGAACCCTAGTGCTGTTGAACCCTGAACCTGAGTCTTGTCCTGCAACTGCACTTGTCGGTGCATGTGTGAGAACCCACCAACCGTAACATTTTGGCTCTCCTAGGCCTTGGCATGATTACCTTCCTAGGAATCTCCAACCCTCCCAGGAAAAGTCATAGAGTGTACAGAGGGAGCAGGGGCAGCTCCCATGCAGCCCTTCTTCATGTCCTTATGAAAAATTGTTTGTATTGAGAGTGGCACATAGGCTGAGGGAGAGGTAATGGGAAAGCAGTGTGGGCTGGACTCATGGTTTTCTCCTCTCTGCCCCACAGGTTCTGTTTCTCATACACAAGGCAGTGCAGAAAGCAGTGGTCGGCAGCCATGCTCCAGACTGTGTGGCCCCAGGTGAACTGAACTGTCTTCCTGCTTTACATATTTAGAACAGCTGTGAATGGACCAGGAGCCTGACTTGACCAGGCCTACGCTTAGCTTTGCACCCATCAATAGAGTATGGCAAAGGGATATTTTTGAGGTGTTGATAGGGAGAATGGATCAGGTTGGTTGGAAAAGATGGAAACACCAACCAAGTAGCTTTTCTAGAATGTGAAAATCTGTATCTGTGCAAACTTGTTAGTCCACAAATGAGTGGCTTTAGTTTAAGCAGGGAGCTTGTCAGAAAGGTGGAATCCCAGCCCCACACCAGATCTTCTGAATTGGAATCTATATTTGTACAATATCTGGGAACTTAATGGGTAAGTTGAAATTTGGTGAGTGGTAATTAGTATCACTCTTCACAGAGGAATCATAATTTGCCTCCTGATATTAAACGCGTACTTTTATGGGAGGGATTTGCTTTGCAATGCACAAAGTTAGGGTACAGTGACATAAACTGGAAGCATTGGAGGATGAGGCCTAATGAAGGTATGGGTTCTTGGAGGAATGCTGAACTTGGAGCTGAACCTCTGGGTTTCTAGCCCAGTGCAGGCTGAAGCTCAGCCTCTGGCAGCCTGCTAGTTGGCACATATTCATGAACATAGGAAGCACTTGTCTCCCTCACTTTTTCTTGGCAATTTTTCTGATATTTTTTTCTCTAGCTTTCTAAGTCATATAATGAGAATGTGTGATGTCACATGTAATGGATATGAAGTGTGAACGCTCCATCCTGGAGATGTAAGAGCAATGTATATGTGGCCCTTTTTGTGGACCACGTAGTCCCAAGTCAGGGAATGTTTTAGCGTCAGAGGGCACCATCTATTCTCCTTGTGCTTTGCCTGGAGTATAATATTCACTCAGATTGGGATCCACTAAGAAAACCCTAAGTGACAGAATCGTAAATAAGCTAAAAGCTCCTCTTTGATGCAAAAGAAGGCAGGGAGAGGCAGTCCAGGCTAGCGTGGCAGCACCGCTGTTCTCAGCTTCCAGGCTCTTTCTGTCCCGCTCTGTCATCCTAGCATGGACTCTTGCTCAAGGCCACTTCATGGTCCAAGATAGCTGTGTGATACCTGGCTCTCACGTGTGCATTTCAGGTAGGAGAAGAGCTCAGAAATGGTGAACCTCTCAGGTTTTTTAGGAGCCCTTCCAGAAGTCCCTGACAACATTATACCCACATTTTGTTAGGCCTCTTAGTTGCCCAGACTAGGTATGATTCCAAGTAAAGTTAAGGTTTCATTATTAAGAAAGAAAAGGGAGAGGGTATAGTACACATTTTCCCTAAAATAATATACATGCATCTAAAATTATGAGTAATTCTTACATCACAATTGTGTGCTAATGATTGAGGAAATTGATATAAAAGTAACTGATAACAGAGTAAGACATAAAGGCCTAAAGAACTTATGATTGTCTTCTCTTTGTGGAGATAGCTATAGTGGGAGGCAAAAAGAGACATTTCTGCTGAAGGGAGTAGCATTGCAGCTTCCACAAAGCTTAGGTGAATGGGAAAGGTTTATGCTCAAGGGCAGAGAGTGCCATCTTGTCCCCTAGGAAAGGTAGGTAACACTGTACATTGCCTTCAAGCGATAATCAGCTTCTTGATAAGATCAGGAGGTTGAGGGAGAATGATCCTGGTTGAAAGGAACTCTGTGTCCATGGAATTGTTCCTCTCTATACTAAAAGATGGAGAGGGGAAGACTAGAAGGTGGCTGAATGCTGGGAGACTACAGGCTAGAAAGAAGCAGGCTGAAAGAAATACCACTGTGGTCATTTTAGGAAATATGCCAGAAAGATTGACCCAGTGAAGGGAACCGGGTTTAGGGTTGATTTCATGACCAGGCAGACGATAAGATGCTGCATTGTGTGCTTGGACTGAAAAGCTGTGGGGCCTCAGAGTGTCCTGTACACTGAAATGGGAATGTTGCCTGAGGGCTGCCCCGGACAGGGGTGCTGTGTGACTCTTCTTACTAGACCAGACCTTCCACGCAGCTCAGAGTCATTAATCGAGTGGATTAATCCCTTCCCTGGAGTTCTGTGCTCCCCTCTCCACCTTCCCCCTACCACCCACCCATGCAGAACTTGACCAGAATCTTCCTGATTTAGGAGTTAGTGACATTTGAGGATGTGGCTGTATACTTCACCCAGAATCAATGGACCAGCCTGGACCTTGCACAAAGGGCACTATACAGGGAGGTGATGCTGGAGAACTATGCCAATGTAGCATCCGTGGGTAAGTTCGCCTTCCTCTCTGAAATGCACCTTCTGCCTTCAGAGACTCCTGGGCTCCCCCTTAGAAAATATTGGGTCTTGGATTCCACTAGGATTGATGATCCCAGAATTGAGTTCCCCACTCCTAACTTTCAGCAGTAGCTAATGGAGAAATATCTGGGTTCACTTTGCCTTTAATTAGAATTCTCATTTCCTATTTCCTGGGGTCTATGTTGACAGGGGCTTTGCTCTGTGCACAGAGAATTCCTGGTAACCCACTCTTCTGGTTCCTTCGATGGCACTTTGGCCCCATCTCCTCTTTGTGAGAATCTTTTAGGTCCTGTATGTACACTCCAATGACAGTGGCACTTTGTCCTCTTAGAGCCAGGATAAGCTTCCTTCTGAGCCTCCAAAGAGCCCCAGCTTCTCTCCACCTAGCAGAGAAATGTGCTTAGACTCCCAGCACATCCACTTCTTTTTTCACCTGGTGAGACTGAGGATGGACTGAGAAGGATCGATGGGAACTCTCCCTAACTTCTTGTTCCTTTTTTCTCCTTTAGCTGCTTTTCCAATCCCGAAGCCAGATCTGGTATTTGAGCTGGAGCAAGGGGAAGCACCGTGGGGCCTGGATCCCTGGGTCCCTGGGCAGGGAGAGGCCCCCAGAGGTGTCTGCACAGGTAAAAGGAGGACCTGTCGCCTTCCTCCTCAGCTTTGCCTCCTCCTGTCTCTTAATAATTTAATAAGAAAAAGGGTAGGTTCCCCCCTCCCCCGACATACAGGTTTTGTGGGAATGAAAATGAAAATGATAACTTTACTCAAAGGTGTCCCTCATTAGAGTTTTGCTCCAAACTGGACAAGACCAGTCCAGTTTTGTGTCATTTTCTGTGTAAAGCTAAAGGAGTTCATAATGCTTTGTAGTGAGTAGAGGTGTCTCATTGTCAATTTAAGAACACAAAGAACTTGCTTTTATAAGAATATTTTTGTGTGTGTGTACATGTAAGTGTTTGTGAAACTACATGCAGACAAAATTTTTATGAATTCCTCAATAGTAAATTTTATAAACTTATTTTGAAAAGAATACCTATTTATTACTGGAAATGAATGGCTTCCTTATTTGAGGGATGTTGAATTGAGGTAAATGTGAAGAGCCATTCACAGGTTTGCTGTATAGACATTTTCATTCGTTTGACCTTGTTTTGAACTCCTAACTGCTAGTGCTTTTCAGAATGTGTATAAAGCAGAGGCTTCTTTGTAATTGCTTGTACTTTTGTCTTAATCAGTGCCTTTAGTGGCCACTAGCACTTTGCCACCTTGAGGTGTAGCATTCCCAGTGGTGCCTGCAGTTGTCTGTGTTTCCCCTTTGATGCAGCTGCACCTTGTCTCTTTAGCCTGCAAAGACTTTAAACCATTATTGTCCACTGGAACTTTCTATAGTGATGGAAATGTCATATATCTGGAGCTGCTTACCCAGCCCTCTCTTCTGCAGTGTAGAGGTCACCTTTCTCACATTTAGCTCCCTCTGTTTTGCGTCTTTGCTTCCACTACCTGTGACTTCATCCCCTTCCAACTTCACTTTGTCTGTTTTCAGTTCTTAGCTCCCATTCTCTGCACCGAGAGTATTGCTTGTCTTCTCTAGTTCTATTTTTTTTAAAAAAAGATTTATTTAGCTATACATACAAGAACTAGGGTACAAGCCAAAGGCATAGCGGGGGTGGGGGTGGGGGGAGTTGGTGAGAGGATTCACCAGAGACAGAGTGGGGAGCAGAACAGGCAGATCGACTGAGGTACACTGCTGAGGGGAGCCGTGGGTAGGCTAGGAGAGGTTTGGCACACTACGTGGGTCAGCTTCCTGGCCGGGGATCAAATGCATGCTGCAGTAGCTGTGGATAGCTTCTTAGTGCTTTGCCACCAGGAGGGCCCCCGTTTTCTTTTTAACTTTTCAAATACCATCAGGTGTCTCTGTCTCCAGGAAATACTTATGTCCGGGGCAAGCTAATACTGCTTCCAGTTTAAATAGATGACTTTTGCTTTTTCTTTTTATCATGCTAGGTGGTAAAACCAAGACCAGGAATGAGGAGCAGACTCCAAAGCTGACCATTAGTAAGGAATCTGAGTCTGACAGACTGATAGTGGAGAGAATGCTGGTGGAAGCACCTCCATACCCTGGCTTTAAGGACAGCTCAGAGAAGTTGCAGCTGTGTGACATAGGGAAGAAAACAAGGTCAAAGAAAGGAAATTTCACTCACTTGACAGCCCAGTTTCATAAATCCTCTACTGTTGAAAAAGAAGAGACAGCCAGGAAATTGGGTAGAACCGGTGAGGTCAGCACACACTTTAACTCAAAGCGGTGCCACTCTAGAGAACAGGTATTTTATAAATGTGATGAGTGTGGCCGATGTTTCCACCAACGTTCAGACCTTCATCAGCACCAGGCAATTCACAATGACGAAAAACCTTACAAATGCAAAGAATGTGGGAAAGCCTTCAGATACAAGTCAAAACTGTCACGGCATCAGAAGATCCACACCAGGGAAAAACCATACTCATGTCGGGAATGTGGACAGACCTTCAGCCAAAACTGCCACCTCCTTCGGCATCAAAAACTACACGTGGGAGAGAAGCCCTATGAATGTAAGGACTGTGGAAAAACTTTTAGCTATAATTCAAAACTTACTCTGCATCAGCGAATCCACACTGGAGAGAAACCCTTTCAGTGTAAGCAATGTGGAAAGTCTTTCAGGTGTAGCTATGATTGCATCATCCACGAGCGAATTCACACTGGGGAAAAGCCCTATGAATGTAAAGAGTGTGGGAAAAGTTTTAGTTTGAATTCAGTCCTGATTCGGCATCAGAGAATCCACACTGGGGAGAAACCTTATGAATGTAAGGAGTGCGGCAAGGCCTTCCACCGGAGCTGGGCATTCCTACAGCACCAGAGGTTCCACACGGGGGAGAAACTCTATAAATGTAATGAATGTTGGAAAACTTTCAGTTGTAGCTCACACTTTATAGTACATCAGAGAATCCACACTGGGGAGAAGCCTTATGAATGCCAGGAGTGTGGGAAGGCATTCAATCAGAAAATCACCCTAGTTCAGCATCAGCGTGTCCACACTGGTGAGAAACCTTACCAGTGTAAGGTGTGTGGAAAAGCCTTCAAATGGAACGCCAGCTTCATTCACCACCAGAAGTTGCATACTAGGAAGAAACCCACCCAAGCTACTGTGTCTTCTGCAGTCAAACCCCACTGCCCCTCTTATGCGCTCGCCCCACTCACTCCCCAACATGTGTGCTCTGTCCGAGCCACGCCAGGACCTCCCCTGTCTTCACATGCAATGCTCCTTCCTCTCTCTACACCTCTTTTCCTGGTGCTCCCTGTATCTCAAATAGTCAGCTCTTCACCTGTACAAATAGTGTATTTCTTTCAGGATTTTACATCTGGGAAATCATCCCCTCATAGCCTGACCCCTTTGTCTTACTTCCCGTGAGCCCCCTCGTGTAGTCAAGTCCCACTGTACTTAAGTTCTTCATTGATACTCATCTGTTCTTGTATAAGTCATTATTTTCCCAATTCTCTTTTAAATTCTCATATCTAAGGGCCGTGTTTGTTTATTTTCAGTTCCCCAGGTAGAAATGGTTGTATGCCCTTTTCAGCATCTGCTGGGGCTTATAATACCATCAGCCTACCAACCTTGTCTACTAGAATTGGAAGAGTTTGCAGAACATTTTGACTTTTAGGAGTATGACTATGACATTACATGAGACGGGCCATAGTAATTTGTGAAATAAGAGCTAGGGAGGAGGGCATCAGAGTGTATCCAATGGTTACTTTCAAGATTTAAGGCCACTGGTGGACCAGTAGCAAGGGTCACTGAGGAATCAGCTTTGGATTATTTTTTTACCTTGATAATAACCAATAGAAGGATCTCTGAACTAAGCAATAGACCATAGAACAGTGAAAAGAATATGAAGTGATGAGTTGGCATTGATAGCAATAATGTAAAATTATGTTTTTAAACTTAATTGGAAGGGAACTGTGGCTCTTCTGTTTGGATTCCTTTTTCTATTTGTATGTTTAATTTCAATATCCAATTAAATATGTAGGTATGCAAAGTGACTTGGGCTTGTGCAATTTAGGAAGGTATCTGGGTATTGCAATCTCAGTTGGCATCAGACTGAGCACCAGAGGAAGGAGGAACCCAGCGGTGGCTTGCTGTATTCCCGCCTCAGGAATGGGACCACTCCTGGCGACTTAGACACTTCATGTTCCCTGTGATTCTGATTTGTGAGTCGTGGCATTTTTACAACAAGCTACATGGGTAGAATAGTTAAAGGACACTTATCCACCAAATGCTCTTGTGCTGTCAGTTTTCTATATTTTCCATCTGGTGGTTAGAGGCCTTGACCCTTGTCACAGTCACTGCTTCAGGATAGCCCAGCAGCATGGGAAAAAGCAGTGCTAAGAAAATGATATATATGCTAATACCACAAAGTAGGTCTGCATAGAGGGCATTGACAGGCTTTTTAAAATATGTAGTGTTTATTTGAGGCATTATCTGTGACAGGTACTTTTTATATTTCACTTAAACCTCGCATCAAGCTTTAATCCAATATAATTTATCATTACCACTCTACATGGGGAAAAACTGAGGTTCTGACTTGCCCTGTATATATATAGGATGCATGGCAATTTTAGTTACTATATCTGAATGGATCTGCCCGAAAAGCACCTTCCACACCCCTTGTTACTAGGAAGGTGAAGGGCTAGAAAAGGGCAGATGGAAACCATGTTTCCTAAGTACTACTCAGCATCTAAACGGGGCTCATGAGCCAGTCTCCCTACACCTGCACAGCCCAGGCACCAGTGACTCAGGTCGGCTGCTGACCTGGTGAGGCCTTGGTTAACTGGGGCCTGAGTAGACCTGGGGCATATCAGTATCACCCCACCCTGCGGCTGTGCCGGGAGTTGCACCTGGAAAGTGGACCAGGGCCAGTACGACCTCGCTGGCAGGTGCTCGCCCGCAACCCCGCCCCGTCACAGGAAGCCCGAGTCACGTGGAGCAGGGCCGCGGGACCACCGAGACGGACAGCCTCCCGGCGGCCTAGAGGGGCGCTTGGCCGCGCGCTTGTTTTGGTTCCAGCTGTGGCTACCAGTTTCTCGGTGGTCGGAGGAAGAGCCAGTTCTGCGTGCCAGGTCCGCGCGGCGCTGGCTTCCTCGCTACCCTGGCGCCTCGCTAGCGCCCCTTCCCCTGAATTTGGCTCTGATGGCGGTCCGCCACGTCCTGACCCGCAGCGCTGGCCTCCGGGCCCCGCAGAAGCCGCCTCAGGTACTGCGCGGCCTTCTGGAGCCCCCCAGCCCTTTGCCCGCTGAGGCTGAGGCCACCTTTCTGTCCTAAAGGAATTGCCTCAGCGGCCCCCTTGCCTGGTTATTGGAGTCAGTACCCCGCCCGTTTGCCTGGGAGGGGACGCTCCAGTGAGCGTCACCCCCTGGAAGACTGAATATTTTTACCCCAATTCACAAGCAGTCCTTAACGTCTCGATTGCCCACGGGCGCCTTTTGTGGGCCAGTGTCTTGGTCCCGTAACCATTCTGTAAATGCCTTTTTAGGTTCGTTCAGCTCCAGCCCCGTAGGGACAGGATCCCTCAGTTTGCTCCGTGTGGATGGTTCAAGAGCATCTTGAACAGGCAGATGGACAACTGTCCTGAGGGTCAGGCACGGCAGTTCATGAGGAGGTAGGGCCTGAGCGAAAATGCCGTGCCGAAATCCTTGCCGTGCTGAAAATGAAGATGGGAAAGGCCACGGGGGGCTGTGGGTAGAGCAGGACAAGGTCCGTGGCACTCATGGTTCTTCTTCTCCTAGTTTCTAAGGTTCTTGCTTTTTCCAATCTCAGAAGACAGTACCTGAAGCCAGGGGACATCAGCCATGCACCAAACAACTTTGCCTCAGGTGAGCTGAGCTTCCTTCCAGTCTTAAACAAAATCACGCCAGCTGCCAGGTCACTGGGAAAGAGCGTTCAGGCCTAAATTGCCAGTCCGTGGGTTCCCCTTTGAATCAGTTCTGAGGGCTGTAGCTGTACATGCACCCTAGAGGAAATGAGTTTTGTGTATAGAGAGTGTGAACTTGGATGTGTAGATTTACATGGGAAGAGAGGGATCCAAGCCAAAAATTCTCCCTGAATGGGGAAATCCAGATCATATTCTGCTGGAGCCCAGCTCCAACTGAGGTAGGGAGGGTCTCCTGCAGGAAAGGACTGTGTGGGCGAAGGTAAGAGCGAGAAAAAGAGAGAAGGTGAGGGGGAAAGGGGAGAGAGTGAGGAAACGAGGAGATACAGACACCTGATTAGGGTGAAAGCATCTTCTGCTGATTGTCCCAGCAGGTCTTTATACATTACAGGTAAGCGGTGGAATTGCATCAGTGTGTGTATAAAGCAGAAAGATAACAATCATCACATTTTTCTTCAAGATAACTCGGGACTTTTTAATCTCTTTTTGAGTCTGTGATATTCATCATTCATTGATAAAAGGTACAATTGATACACAAAATGTTGCTATAGTGACCAGTTCATTAATAAACAAAATATTCCTATGGTGATCAATTATCAAACAAAATATTCCTATAGTGATCAGTTATCAATAAAAAAATGTTCCTGTGGTGATCAGTTAGCTATTACAGCTTAGGCAATCATTTTGTTAATATTTAATGAGCATACATCTTAAAGGTACAGGAGCTAATGCTGAGGACCTAAGAGTCAGCTAATGTTGAGGACACCAATGCCCAGTGCACTGACATCTCACGCCCGGTGCTCTGATGTCTCCCAGCCCCTCAGGAAAAAGCCCTTTTTTCATCCATAAAAGGAGCTTCTATTAATCACTACTTCTGTAATTATTTTGTCAACCTAGTTTCTGTATCTAACATAAGAATTAGGGGAAAATTTCTTTATATTGTCACTGATTATTATCTTATTAATCTTATCAAAAAAACTATGTGAAAAGAGGTCGGGTGAAAGTTAAAGGAAAGAGTAGGAAAACTTATTGTTTGTAACTATTACTTAAGAGGAAACTATGTTACTTAAAACTATAGATCTTTTATTGGGAACTGGGCAGGCAATTATTACAGCCTTTGGTTCCCAGAATTTTTGGACCATGACATGTCTCTCGGTATTGTGAGACCTAGATTTGTGCCAGCACCCTCAAGCAGAGGAATATTAATTATTTTACAACGTACTGTGCTGTTCTGTGTACAGTGCTATTGTTATTAAACCAATCAATCCAATCAAGTAATTATTGTTTTTATATTGAATGTATGTTTGGACAATTGCCATGTTTCTTGGGAATGGCCAAAAACAAACCATACTTCTTGGAAACAGCCATAAACAAATGAAAAGAATCCAGCAGGAACCAGTTGTAGAATATCCTGACTTTTCATGATTTTCTCCCATGTCAGGATCTTGTCATACAACGTGGCTAGTGTGGCTTTTGCCAATATTCTACAAATGAAAGTCTGAAACAAGAGCTTGACCTCCAACTTGTGGATGGAGTCCAGAGAGACCGGCATTGTTCTGTGTGGACTTTCTAAGTCCTATACATAGAGCATATGCAAATAGGTTCCTTTTCTCATAAAAGGCATTTTGAGCAAGATAGGCAGTCTAAAGAAGTAAGTTAAAATCATATTTATTTGTTGAAGAAGAACAGTGCTTTTCAAGGTGACCTACACAGGTGGGCAACATCAACATTCGAATTGCAAATTCTTGGGTCCCACCCTACACTCAAAACCAAACTAGGTAGGGTAACTGAGGTCAGGAGGCAAGCATGACTTCAATCTTAAGTCTTTCAGGTAATTCTTACCCACCTTGTCAAATATGAAAAGCCCTAAAGAAACTTCCTCCAAAGGTCAGGGGAGCCCTCATGGATCCATGAGAGTTGAGACCTCAAGGATGAAATAGCAACAATCCTGGGACTTACTGAATAGAGGGCTAACGAAAAGTCTTTCAGAGAGGACAGCACAAGCCAAGGTCCTCAAGTGGGAGAAAAGTCGAGTGTACTCTAGAAGCAGGGAGATAGAGAAAGTGGTGCTCATTATGAGGTGGGAGAAGTTGGCACATATCTTGTAGGTCATTGAATACTTTGGTTTCTGTTCTGGGTTCAGTGAGAAGGCACTAAAGGATTTCAGGAGGGGTGGGGGGGTGATGGGGGCGTGTCTGTGTGACATGTTTTATATATTAAAAAGGATTTCCAGTTCTTACTGGTGAGTTGCAGTGCATTCCAAGTAAGATTAAGTATTATCCTTTTTTTTTTTTTTTGGTATGTTTATATACAGTATTTTTTTTTTTTTTTAAAGATTTATTTATTTGTACATACAGAACTGGGGTACAGGCCAGAAGTTCAGGGGCGGCGAGAGGCTTCACCAGAGACAGAGTGGGGAACAGAACAGGCAGATCGACGAAGTACACTGCTGAGGGGAGCAGCGGGCGGGTCAGGAGAGGTCTGCCACGCCATGTGGTCACCTCCAGGGCAGGCGGGAATCGAACTCATGCGGAAGCGGTTTTAGATTCTCAGTGCTGTGCTTTAACCCGCTGCGCCACCAGGGAGGGCCACAGTATTTTTTTTTAATGATAAGTTTAGGTTCATAACAAAATTGAATAGAAAGGAAAATTCCCTTATGCTCTCTCCTCCCATGCATGCAGGACCTGTGCACCATTACTAACATTCTCTGTCAGAGTTGTACACTAGTAACAATTGATGAAATGATATTGACATACATTCATCCAAAGGTTCTAGTCTGCACTATGATTCATTCTTAGTGTTATATATTCTATCAGTTACAAAATTATAACTACTTGTATTAAGACTCATAAAAAGTCTTAATCACCTAAATATCCTCAAGTGTTGTGCTCGTTCATTCTTCCCTCCCTGTTAACCTTTGATCTTTTTACTGTCTCCATAGCATTGCCTTTTCCAGAATTTTGTATAGTTGGAATCTTTATAGCCTTTTCAGATTGACTTCTTTCACTTAGTAATATGCATTTACAATTCCTTCTTGTCTTTTCATGACTTGACAGTGTAGTGTAACACAATTACTATAAAAAATATTTGTTTATTTTAAGAACTGAACAACTGAATCCATCATCTGAATGTACCACGTTTTATCCATTCACCTACTGAAGGATGTCTTGGTTGCTTCCAGGTTTTGGCAGTTATACATAAAAACTGCCATAAACATTTATCTACAGGTTTTTATGTGGACATAGTTTTCAACTTATTTGGGAATATACCAGCCATCATTGTTGCTCAGTCATCTAGTAAGAATATGTTTAGTTTTTTAAGGAACTGACAGATTACCATGTGGCTATAAAGTAGCTACCAGTTTACATTCCCAGCAGCAGTGAATGGAAGTTCTCGTTGCTCTACATCCTTGCTAGCATTCAGCATTGTCAGTGTCTTGGATTTTGTTTTTTCTGATAGGTGTCCAGTGCTCTCATTGCTTAATATGCAGGTCCCTTGTGACATGTTATTGAGCATCTGCCTGTTTTACCATCTTTATATCTTCATAGGTCTTTTGCTCATTTTTTATTGGGTAGTTCATTTTCTTATTGTTTTAGGAGTTCTTTGCGTATCTTCGATAGTCGTCCTTTAATAGTTGTGTCTTCTCATATTTTCTATGACCTCTCATTTCTTGAAGTATGGTTCTCTTTCAAATTTTTTTTCTTTAAAACTTTCTTGGATAGTCTTTCACAGTTAATTTTTCAGATGACGTTAAATGCTTCACTGTCTCCACAGATCTTATTTTTCTTTTTTTGATTTAACTGGATTTATAGTAAAAAATCAGAGATTATTGACTTGTTCACACTTCTTCCCTTTCAGAAACAGTTATGTTCAATTTATTTAGTTCTTTTCATTGTTTTACTAGACATATTTTCTTCTTGATTGTACATACATTTGATAGGTATATTTTAAGCTGTTTTTATATGCATTCCACTTTATGTATTTATGGTTATTATTCCCTATATTTGTGCTCTAGTCTTTCACAGCAAGTAGAATCTTACCTCATGGAAACTTATCAGCCACCAACTTGAATGACTATGCTCTAGCATTCTACTGACAAGGTTTTTGTGATTTTCTGAGCCTTTTCATAAGTTTAAAGGATTTCATTTATGTTCAGACTATTTTTGAGATTAATTCTTTAAGCAATTTTATACATCTAGTATCTGCCAGATAATGTACTAGTAAACCAATAATGAGCCTACACAGAATCTTTTCCTTCTGGACTTCTGATGGTAGGAGGAGAAAGGCAAACAGTACAATTTGTCAGATGCTAAAAACTACTGTGGAGAAAAATAAGGTAAATTGAAACTATTCATAAGAAGAAAAGAAAATATTTACAACCCTGCTTCATTAGGACAATAAGTTTATCTTTAACAATAGGCTTCCCCCCACACATACCTATGAAACCCGGGGGGAAAACAATTTGGAAGAAGTTGATGGTGCTGGACTTGGCAGAGAAAGTCATGAGGGCAACTGTGGAGATGTTAGGGAGGTTTGCCTTGTAAGCAGAGGCGAGTTTGGTTTGCTTGTGAGCCAGTGCTTGCTTTCATGCCTTATTGAAGCAGTGATTAGTCACAGGACATCAGGGGACATGTGGTCTTTAGATTTTTGGCTTAGACTATTTTGAGGAAGCTCTTTGGACCCACTTTAGAGGAAAGCTCTCCTGTTGTGTAATGTTCATTTCTTTTTTCTAGTGTCTTTTTTTTTTTGAGCTGAGTTTCCTAATAGTTCTTGTTTTAAAAGGACCCTCTCAAAAAGACAGAGTGGGGAGCCAGTATTGCTGCTGTGAGTAATTTGAGGTGCCAGAATTTGTCCTTGGGGCATGTTTCCTTCCAGCGTGGTTAGCGGAGCATTGCATTTCCTCTCACCTGTGCTTAGTCTACGGCAAAGGCTGCAGTAGGGGCTACTGGGAGAGAATGACTTGTGGGCTTGACTGAGCCCTGCTGTTTGGTGTTTTCATTTTTGATGGCTGAAAGAACAAAGCTGACTACATAGGATAGTGAGACTCTCCGGGGAGGTGCAGGCAGGGGACTTAAACATGGGAAGATGCATGAAACCCCTTCCAAGGTAAGAAACTGTCTCTGTGGTCTGGATGGTACCAACTAAAAGCCAAGGAAGAAGCCAGTAGACACCATTAAGGACTATTTTGGAGCCTTTTAAATTGCATAGATGATTCAGAGAGTCTGGCTCTTGGGTTTGTGATTTTGAAATAGCCAATGCCTTTGTCCAACGTGTGTTCTGGAGGGAGCATGATAAAGATGGACTGACGGGTAACTTAGGGAGCTGGGAATTTGAGAAGCTGTTCTCTAAAGAGGGAACAGCACCAGGTAATTATGAAGTATTAGCTCTGGTTTTGGAGTTCATAAGCCTGGTGTGGGAGGCAGTTTATTATGTAGGAGCAGTCCAGGTTTACTGTTTGACAGATATGGGCTGAAATCCCAGGTCTGCCACTTTGTGGCAGTGTGATCATGGGAAAGATACTTAAGTTTTGTGAGGCTTGAGAGGAGCACACATGGGACTCAGACTGGGTAATGAACCTGTGCTCAGAGGCAGGGCAGCACCAGCCTTCTTGGAAGATAGGTGGTTCAGGGAAGAGGCCAGAACAGGCGGTTTTCTGGTTCCCCAAGAGAGCCAGCCAGCTTTCTCATGAGGTAAGAAAGTATAAAAAGAAATTTGCAAAGGCCTTCTCTGGTGGTCCAATGGGTTAAAGCACAGCACTGAGAAGCTGGCCTTGGCTGCCTTGGTATGAGTTCGATCTCTGCCCCGGAGGTGACCCACATGGCATGGCAGAACTCTCCTGACCCGCCCACTGCTCTCCTCAGCAGTGTTCTTTGTCGATCAGCCTGTTCTGCTCCCCACTCTGTCTCTGGTGAATCCTCCCACCCCCTGCACCTCTGTCCTGTACCCCAGTTCTGTATGTATAAATAAATAAATCTTTAAAAAAAAAATCAAGAAATTTGCAAAATCCTGGGAATATTTCTGAGGAATGGCTTTTCTGTGCATAGAGTGGAAGATGTTGGGAAGATCAAGGCAAGGTGAGGTGTGGGGAGCTAGTGAGGCTGTTTGTGCACAGTGGGAGGCAATGCTGCAGTGGTTTGTACATAGGGATATGGTGATGGGATTGTGGAGTGCATGATGGCAGGCCCAAGGAGGCAGGAACGTAGGGGTTGAAGCTCTTAGCATGCAGAGTACCAGATGTCAGCTGTGCCATAGGGTTGACAGTTCAGAGCTCCAGAGCTGTGCAGATAGAGAGCACTGGGCTTTTCCATTTGGTGTTGGGCACACTGGCTGGAGGGCTGGGTACTGAGTGCTCTTGTCAGTAGAGCAGACATTCCAGTAGGCTCAGAGCTACAGGTCCTGGCAGCTCCATTTCTTACCTGCAGTTCTTGCTGTCCCTCTGTTCCCCAATCAGAGCTTGAGCAGAAATCTGTTGTTTCAGGAATCAGTGACCTTTGAGGATGTGGCTGTGTACTTTACCCAGAATCAGTGGACCTTCCTGGATTCCACACAAAGGATACTGTACAGTGAGGTGATGCTGGAGAATTATGCAAATGTGGCGTCCTTGGGTAAGTCTCTCTTAGTGGACATCTTCCTCAGATGTTTTAGGGATTCTTATAGTTCCCCTGCGTTTGATGACTCCAGAGGGGAGTTCTGTAATCACTGGCCTCTGGAGATGCAGGGTGGGGAAACATGTGGCCCTTTGGTTTTGAAAGCTACTTCTTTACATACCAGGGAATGGCATGCTTCTGGACCTGAGGGGAAGGACTTTCTGGCACTAAGCACCTCTTTTGTTTCTTCCTCCTTTCATTGTTCTGGGGTGTGGGCCCTTAGCTCTGTGGAGGAATCTCCCACGATACCTGTACAGTATTCTTCCAGAACAAATTTTTTTCTCTTCTGAGTTGGGGGCACTGGAGTCTGATCTCTGAACCCTGGTTCACTTGGTTTCCTTGACATTCCATGCTTTTCAACTAGCTAACTAGGGGATCGTGTGAGAGAGCTCAGGAGCACTTTAGATGTCTCCCCTTAATTTTTCTTTCTTTTCCCTTTTTTTTTTTTGGTCTGGAGTAGCATTTCCACTCTCCAAACCTATATTGATTTCCAAGCTGGAGAAAGGGGAAGCACCGTGGGTCCCTGATCCCTGGGAAGCAAAGCTATGGAGACGTGTCTGTCCAGGTGAGTAAGAGAATATAGCACTTTCTGGTTTTACTGTCTGGGTTTACTGGAAATCTTTCTTGTCTAACAGAGAACAAAGCTCTCATCATTTATGAATCTGTACCTGGGCTGATAGCTGACCCTGCTGCATTCTGGCCTGATCGGAAAGACCAGGCTTCACAGTGCTGCACATTAACCCGTTGTACCACCAGGGAGGGCCCTTGCAAATTTCTTGTTCATGGCATCCTCTTCATGTGACTGACTGTTCTTTCAGAGAAAACCTCTGATGCACTAGCTCTCAAATTGCTCTTACTTACTAATCAGTGGGAGTACTTTAACGTTATGCCAGTTTCATTTCCAGGGAGTAGGGTTTCAGCCATGCCTTGAGGAAAATATGATTGTGTGGGTCAAATGATTTATATGTCACAGGTATGAATTTTTAGCTTTATGTTTTCAACAATGAAAAGAATGCCTTTACTTTGCCTTTTAGTATCTAAATCACCTAAGTTTGTGTGCCATAATCTTTAGTAGTTCTGTATTGTATTTGTCTCATGTGGGAGTGTAGGGAGCAGGGCCAGGAGTAGTCCCCTGCCACTGCATCCCGGACACGCTCATGCACAGCCTTACATTGCCAAGACTGCTCACCAGTCTTTTATTACTTGGGTTTTCTTTGCTTTTGGAAAAATTTAACACCTGATGTCTCATATGCACTGTTGTTCTGTAAAGAGTAGATCTTTTAGCAGCAGTACCACTGTGACCTACGGCTCTCCAGTTCAGCCTGTTCCAGCTGACTTTCTAAAGAAAATAATCTGTAATCCCAGATGATTATGTGATTATTAAAGTAGAATTATTTTTACTTATAGTTCTGGATTTAGGGTGATTTCCTGGCTTGTGGGTGGGGCATTAGGCTCTTTTTTTCCTCTCTCAAATCTGTGTTTCCAGCCTGCTAGACTTCTTGCCACACCTGAGCTGCACATTCGCTCTCCCCAGTTTCGCTGATTTTTTTTCTTACCCTACTGGGTCTCTTTTTTTCAAAAAAATTAATTTCTTGCTTTTAAATTGCTTATTTCTCTCATTCTTCCATTTACTCCTTCTTCCCCCATGTTGCTTTCTTTCCTTCCTTTTAGTTCTCATTCAGCCCATTTCTTTTGTCTTTTTCTTCTGCCTGCTCATTTCCCAGGCTTCCTTCAAGGAGAAGGAAGAACTTCCTGCTCTGTTTCCAGTGTCCCCTCTCCAGTGGTGCGTTGTTGCAGACCTTCCTTGACTTACAGTGGGGTTACTGATGACAGCATTACATCGAAGACACTGGCAGCAGTACACTATAGAGTATGTGTTGTTTACCCTTGTGACTGGGAGCTGTAGCTGCTGTCTCCCAGTGTCGTGAATTTTGTACTGCAAGTATGAAAAGGTTTAAGATGCAAAATTTGAAGCATGGTTCCTACTGAATGTGTATTTTGCACCATTGTAAAAGCTGAAAAACAGTAAGGTGAACATCCTAGGTTGGGGACACTTTGTGTTTTTCTTTTTCTCACCTTCTTTATGGATACGTCTAGCCATTTTATGGGAACATATATATATATATATATATATATATATATATATGTATATATTTTTTAAAACACATCTTATAAGCCAGACCACTGGATCTTGTTTTCTTCCAGACTGTAACTAGGCCCCTTGTGATTTATTTGGTCAGGTGGTGAGTCCTGCAGCAAGAAAGACGCGCCAACAGTGAAGCAGGAAGCCTCTGAAGAAGCAGAATCTCACAGCATGCCAGTAGGAGGGTGCCTCAGAAATGTTTCTCAGCACTTTGACTATAAAAGCAAGACAGTGTGGCAGACTTTCAGCCTGAATCCGAATCTGATACTTCGAGGTGGAATGAAGTTCTATGAATGTAAAGAATGTGGGAAAATCTTCAGATATAACTCAAAGCTTATTCGACATCAGGTGAGTCATACTGGGGAAAAGCCCTTCAAGTGTAAGGAATGTGGCAAAGCTTTCAAGTCCAGCTACGACTGTATTGTACATGAAAAAAATCACATTGGAGAAGGGCCCTATGAATGTAAGGAGTGTGGCAAAGGTTTGAGTTCCAACACAGCCTTGACTCAACACCAGAGGATCCACACAGGAGAGAAACCCTACGAATGTAAGGAATGTGGAAAAGCTTTCCGCAGGAGTGCAGCATATCTTCAGCATCAGAGGCTACACACTGGGGAGAAGCTCTATAAATGTAAGGAATGCTGGAAAGCTTTCGGTTGTAGGTCACTCTTTATTGTTCACCAGAGAATCCACACTGGGGAGAAGCCTTATCAGTGTAAGGAGTGTGGCAAGGCGTTCACTCAGAAGATTGCCTCCATTCATCATCAGAGAGTTCACACTGGAGAGAAACCTTATGAATGTAAGGTGTGTGGGAAAGCCTTCAAATGGTATGGCAGTTTTGTGCAGCATCAGAAATTGCACCCTGTGGAAAAGAAGCCTGTCAAGATGCTTCAACCGCCCCTCACGAGTCCCCAGTGTCCCTCTTCAGCCTTATCACCATTTCCTCTACGGGGTCCATGCTCTGCCCCAGCTCTGGCTGTGCCAGCACTGACCTTCCCACATGCTGTGGTCATTCCTACCTCAGGGCCTTTGTTCATGCTGCTACCCACAGCTGGAGTACCCTCTTCACCTCTCCAAATAGTTCGTGTCTTCCAGAGTCTTACTGCGACTGTAAAACCATCCACGATTATTCTGACCCCTTCTTCTCACTCATCATGAGCTTTATTTTGACAGTTCTATGGCTCTTAGACCCAGCAAATCTCCAACCTAATTTGGGTTTCATTTATATTTTCCTTTTATGTGCTATAACTGTTTCAGCAGAAACACACTTAAAAGACTATATACATGTATGTTCTCTTTCCTCCCGGGTAGGACATGGAAATACTTTACCTTTGTTATTGATTTCTTTCAGTAACAATAGTGGTTGTATCTGCATTGTTGGGTTGCTGGTGTAAGAAGTGGATACTTCTTTGTGTTAGAAGTTAGAGAGCGAGCATCCTTGTAGTAGCCATTGTGATTAGAGAAGAATAAGCTGGGAGAAATGGAGGAGGTGTGCAAACCTGTGGGACTTGGTAATGGGAATATGCTTTCAACAATGATTGTTCCGTGGGCTAAGATGATTTATAAATGCAAGTGGAGTTGCATTTCCCTTGGCATGGATCCTTAAGGAAGGCATATGTCTATGCAAAAGATCATGTGAAAAATAATATGTATACAGTAATAGCAATCATTTCCCTGACTAATAGCTATCTTTAAACATAAAGATTTTTTTGGTTCACTTTTAGTTTTGCTCTTTATATCTAGATGTGTTTTTAAAACTTTAGTTTCCTAAGTAAATGTACACAAACATATTCATCTTTTTATTCATTTATCTGTGGTACAAATTTTTCTTGGTGGGCGTTCTGGTTTTCTATTTTCCAGCATTGAATTTTACAGCTTATTTTCTCCAGGTAGCATGAACTATAAATGAGAATTTGGCAAATTACTAAACAAATGGGAGCAATAGCATAAAACCCACCTGGGAAAAATCTGAATGAGTCTTCAAAATTATTTTCAAAGAATAATGGGCATTGTATAATGGGGTAGTGGCTAAGCTTGTGTGAGAGTTTTGCCATCATGCTTTACCACTGAATTATACCCTTGGGAGGAGTAGTTTTGGATTGCTTTTGCTTTTAACCTTGATGAGGATTTTTTACAGCTATGCAAAAGGTGATGTAAAGTAATTCCTAGAAAAAGAATCCAAGTTATGCATTATTAGCATTTGTATAAAGTTAATCCTTAAACATTGATGGAAGGGCCATACAATTTTTTCTTCAGAGTTGTTTGTTATCTAGTTGTTTTTCTATAGCAGCTAGCAGAAAAACCTTCAGGGTAGGGGATGTTAAATTGTATAGCATGTTACTGAATATGGTGTAAAAGAATAATTTTCTGCATTGAGTCCTAGAAAGTCTTAATTTGGTTATCTGTGGGTATGTGCAGACCTGTAGTATGTACCATACTTTGAAAAATATGCTTTAAACAGAAAATGCCTACTTTGGAGGCATTCATAGAAGACATGGGTGGGTCTGCTTTATTTCACAGTGGATCCTCAAGAGAGAGAACTCTAAATTTAGTTTATTATGTGCTGTTGGTTTATCAATAGAAGAAGAGAGAAAAACAAGTGAAAAAGGACCCATGGGGGTATGGTGGTGGGAGGGGGGAGGGCGAGGAAGAGTAAGAGATCTGAAGTGAAGTAGGAAAAGTTCTTAAGGTCACCACTGCCAGAGGCTTGTGGGTGTTGACATTGGCTATCTTTTGCTACTCATTTGCTTGTGGGCTGAAGTAATGAAGTTGATTTTTTTTTTAAATAACAAAGTTAATATACTTTTTCTTATTACAAAGGTAATAAACTTTGAAATAGCTCTTAGGTTAAAGAACACACAAAAAGAATGTTGCAGAGGATTCAGAACTGAACAACAGGACCTAGCAGGGTTTATGAGATGTAACAAAATGTGGGACTTAGAGCAGTATTTACAGTCTTGAATGCATTCTATAGAAAACAAGTTCGAAGGCTTGCAATTTAGAAAGCTGGGGGTGGTGTTTGATAGTGCAAAACAATAAAGTTCACTAGGAATAAAGACAAACAGCAGAAATAAGATGCACAGCAGCTTTTTTTTTTTTTAAAGATTTATTTATTTATTCATACAGAACTGTGGTACAGGCCAGAGGCTTAGGGGCAGTGAGAGGCTTCACCAGAGACAGAGTGGGGAGCAGAACAGGCAGATGGAGGAAGTACACTGCTGAGGGGAGCAGCGGGCGGTCAGGAGAGGTCTGCCGCGCCATGCGGCCACCTCCAGGGCAGGTAGGAATCGAACTCATGCGGAAGGTTTCAGCTTCTTAGTGTTGTGCTTTAACCGGCTGCTCCACCAGGGAGGGCCAATGCACAGCAGCTTTTTAAAAGATGGTGGTTTAGTATATCAGCAGTCACATCTCCCAAAGCCCCACTAAAACAGTAAAATGAAAATGAAAAGGCATAAACTTACAGACTTGAAGCTGGATGAAAGAGGAACTGCAGACAGACCTGAGAAAGGTGAATTCTAAGCCTCAGTGAGGGCAAGCTGGGCAGCCATCCTACAGTCCGGAGTTCCCATCACAGGTAGGAACTGAGATTCAGGTTTCTGGACATCGATGATGCTGTTGGGGATTAACTAACCTTCCAACACCATCTCCTCAGTCTTTGTGCTCTGCTGATTGCTTCTGCTCTCACCAGGAGAACAGTAAACTCCAGAAAGTGACTGTCCCGTTAGCCTGGTTGCCAGAATGGAGCCACGTGAGGCCCAAAAGTGGTGAGAACACCTCATCTTGTCCATCTTTGTTGAGTTTATAACCATCTATCCTTCATGGGTTGTCACTTCTGCTAAGATAGTTCCACCGTTTTATGGTTCTTGTTCCTAATTCTTTGTCAGCCAATGTTCAGTTGTGGACATTTTTGACAGTGCAAAAGAGATTTACTGCACAGTACTAGCCAATGCGCAGAATTTCTAAGAGGGAACTAAGCCAGAATTCCACAGAAGTGGAAGTAAGAAAAATGACCAGTGTTTCTACCAAACAGTTCATTGGTAACTCAGCAGCTGCTGATGCCTGCTACTAGACTCTACCCCGGGCCCTCTGAGAGGAACTGGACAACCAGAATGTTCACTACACTCTGGAGGAAAAGCAAGTTTGCTCACTGCCCTTTTTGTAGGAGCTCATGATTTTCATAGCCATCTTCTGCAGAGGTGTACTGCTTCAGTGGGAGTGGATAAATATGTACAGAATTTATCTGGATTCTCTCTGGGAAAGTAAGATTATGATGTGGAAAAGTCCTCAAATGGGGAGAGGATTTTTTAAGATATTTTAGGCAGCAATAAAATAGCAGATTGCCACTATAGGCACAGAAGATGACCTGAATGACTGAAGGGCAAGGAAGATCAATAGCATTAAGATTTCATTTTTGCCAAAAGAATTTATAAATTAAAAGCCGTTCCAACCAAAATCCCAAAGGAGCATGTGTATGTGTGTGTGTGTGTGTGTGTGTGTGTGTGTGTGTGTGTGAGTGAGAGAGGATGAGAAAGAGTTGATAAATTAGTTCTACAGGTTATATAGAAGAGCAAAGGACAATATACAAGAATTTTGAAAGAACAAGGGAGATTTTATGTTATAAGATATAATATAGTGACTATCAAAAATAGAACAACAGAAAACACCCAGATTTAAAAAATATATTGCACTGTGATTTGTATAAATTTCAGATTAAAACAATATACTGTTTAGGAATGTATGCATTTTATACTAAGTTACACACATCTATAGTTGGTGCAGAATTATAGAGAAATGAAACATAGGGAACTCAAACTTGTTAGTGGACTAGGTTGGGGAAATACAAATTATATTTCTGTCCCTCCTGCCTCTATTTTCTCACTGGTTCTCACATTTTGTATGAAATGCCAGGAACCCAATTCCAAATGCCATCTGCCAGTTGTGCTATACCTTCCATCTTTGCTACTTGTTTCTTGTCTGAAAACAGATACTAGTAGTCAGACACTTTATGATTCTCAAAGTGCTTTACAAAATGTGATCTCTAAATATCCCTTTAAGTAGATCAGTACTGGTATCTTATTTCATGGCTAGGGTAAAAGAAATTATGTAACTTGCTTTAATCTAAAAATACTTTCTTAAGAGCCAAATGATTGAACCTATTGTTTAAAGAAAACAGCTTGGAATTTTTATTACATGACACCCAATTGTAAGACTGGCTCATCTTCTAAGTGAATCACTATTCAATGTTACTTCCTATTTACTTACTAATCACAGTGACTTCCTGGCATTATAGGAAATTTTCAATTGGCTGAAAAGTTTCAATGTACTCTACTTTTGCTACTTCCAAGAGGACATCTTGTTTTTAGTAATGATAAAAATATATGCTCTCCTGTTTACCATTAAATATTTAACCACAGTGAACTTTAGATATTTTCGCTATATAAGATTTGTATAAAAAGACATAAAATTCCAGAGATGGTAAATTAGCTTGCTCATGGGATAGAACTGAGGTGTGATGCCCACACTCAGCTCAGATTTTAACTTTCGTAGAACACTTAAGCATAGCAGGAGTTTTCAGTGTATAAAGTAATTACTTATATGGAGTAGTTATTTTCTCCATTTTTTTCAGGAAATCTTAGCAGTTTAGTTGTAATTTGTCTTTCATTGACTACTAGCATATTGGTTAATTATGAGAGGAGAGTGATATCCATTAGATTGTAAAAATGTGAATAATGAGTATCAAATGTATAAGCAGCAGAGTTAAAGCCAACTTGTGCTTGTTCCTGAGAAAGGAGGATCTCTTTGTAGCTTCTGTTTACTGGCATAGAGCAATTTTCTTGTATTCCTCAGGTGTCTAATTTTCCATAAACAAGTCACCTATTGCATAAATATTTTTAGATATTCAGGGACTAAATAATTTAGCAATTATAAGAATGTGAGCTTCAGAAAGATAAGGCAGTAATCCTGAAACAGAAGATCTAGGAAACTGGGAGTCCAGCAAGTAGGAGAAAGGAAGCCTGGAAAGAGTCCACAGAGGCTAGACAGTACCAGTCCAGATTGGAATAGAAAGAGAAAGAGTGTGAAAGATCTGAAAAGAAGACAAGGAGCAGTAGATTAGAAAAACTAAGTTGTTTCACAGATCTGTGAGAATTAAAAGAAATGAATAAGAAGCTATACAAAGTAAAAGTAAATTATCAAGGGGGGGGGCATAGGGAGTGGAAAGCCCAGCCAACTATGAGATAAAAATAAGAAGTTGAGTAAGAAAATGAAATTAAAAAATGACACCTGGCTTACCAAACAGCAATAGTTACAGTAATGATAAACACATTTTTCAATAACCAAAATTGTGATACAATTTTATTGGGAAAAAGGAATATTGATGGAGATATAAAAATGTATCTTCATCTATCACAATTAGAACTCAACAGATTCTGAAGAAGAGCATGAGTGTGGTATGGTAACATACCAACATTACCTGAATAAAAAAAAGTAATACAATTAAGTGAAATCAAGAGCAGTATAAACATGTGGAAGTAATAGTTGCGTACAGAATATCAAATCTCTTCCTTATAAGCATTGCTGGTCAAGTTAATCAAATAGGATCCTGACCTCTTAACAGAAAGGGAATAACTGTGCTGTAATTCTGGCCTGTGACTAGGGCTTATGAGGAGT